CTTTTCATTGAGACAAAATCCACATAACACAAAGTTCATCATGTTAATGCCTTTCAAGTGTGCAGTTGAGTAGCATATCCACAGTTGGTACAACCTTCACCACTATTTAATTCTAGAACTTTTGTTTTAATGTTTATTTATTTTTGAGAGAGAGAGAGAAAGAAAGAGAGAGAGAACAGGCAGGGGAGAGGTAGAGAGAGGAGAGAGTGAATCCCGAGCAGGGTCTGCCCTACCAAGAGCAGAGCCCAAACTCACAAACCTGTGAGATCATGACCTGAGCCGAAATCAAGAGTCAGTTGCTTAACCGACTGAGCCTCCTAGGTGCCCCAATTCCAGAACATTTCTGTCACCCGAAAGAAGAAATCCCATCCCTCTCGACTCCCTCTTTCTCCCAGCCCCTGACACCCACTAATCTACTTTAAGTCTCTGTGGATTTGTCCATTCTAAACAAATGGGATCTTCTTCTAAATGGGATCATACACTATATGACGTTTGGGGTCTGACTTCTGTCACAATAAATGTATCGGTACTTCCTTTTTACAGCTAAATAAAATTCCACCATATAGATATATCATCATTGTTTATAAATTCATCATCTGATGAGCATTAGCTGGTTTCCATTTCTTGACTACTGTGAATAATATTGCTGTGGACATTCACTGGCAGAACATGAGCATGTTTTCTCTTCTCTAGAGTCTAGAGTATGTACCATGGAGTTGAACTATTTAGCTATGCTGTAACCCCATGTTTGACTTGTTGAGGAACTGCCAAACTTTTTCATAGTGGTTACACAATCTTACATTCCCAGGAACAAGGTACGAGAGTTTCCATTTCTTCCCCTGCCCATGCTTATTTTCTTTTTTTTCCCCATAGCCATCGATGCAAAGTGGTATCTCATTGTGGTTTTGATTTGTATGTCCCCAATGACTAATGATTTGAGTATCTCTTTGTGTGTTTATTGGCCATGCATATGTCTTCTTTGGAAAAATGTCTTGTTAGATTCTTCGTTTATTAAAAAAATTTTTTTTGTCTTTATTATGGAGCTGTAAGAGCTTTCTGAAGAATCTGTCTCGATACTGGAATTACCCAATGATTTCCAAATATTTGCCCCATTATGTGAGTTGACTTTTCATCTTTTAGATGGTATCCTTTGATTTGCAAAGTTTTTTTTAATTTTTAAAAAAGTTTTCTTTATTTTTGAGAGAGAGACAGAGTGCGAGTAAGAGAGGGGCAGAGAGAGAGGGAGACACAGAATCTGAAACAGGCTCTAGGCCCTGAACTGTCAGCGCAGAGCCTGACATGGGGCTCGAACTCACAAATCGCAAGATCAGGACCTGAGCTGAAGTCGGACGCTCAACTGACTGAGCCATCCAAGCACCCCTGATTTGCAGTTTTTAATTTTAGTGAAGTCCAATGATTTTTTTTCTGTGCTTGCTTGTGCCCTTGGTGTTGCATCAAAGAAAGTATTACTTAATTCAAATCACTGAAGATTTACACCTATGTTTCCTTCTAAGAATTCAATAGTTTTAACTCTTACATTTATGTTGAGTTAATTTTCATATATGGTGTGAGGTAGGGGGTCCAACTTCATTCTTTTGCATGTGGATATCCAGTTGTCCCAGCACCATTTGTTGAAGAGACTATCCTTTCCCATTGAATGGCCTTGGTACCCCTGTCAAAAATCAATTGACTGGAGGCACCTGAGTGACTCAGTGGGTTAAGTGGGTTAACTTCTGCTCAAGTCATGATCTCACGGCTCCTGGAAGTCATTTCTTGTCCAAGCTAGCAGCCCACTTCTTCCAGTTCTTTCTCACTGGGATGTGTCTTAGAGTGTCCCCTCACCCCCTTGGCTCATGTCCATTGGCCCCCATCACGCAGCTTTGGGTTTGGTGCGACATCATTCCCCTTGGGGTGGCTCACACAGGAGAGGCAACCAGGACAGCCACCCTCACTGCTGTTCTGCAAGGGTGGGACCACTACTCCCTGCTCCCTGCCAGGCACGATTCCATTTTCCTCACCTGGTCCTCCCCTCCCAGGTGCCCACCTGGCCTCCAACCTCTTCCTCCCTGCTCTCCGGCGCCTGTTGCCTAGGTGCACATGGGATGGGAGAGGCCCTCAGGGGGCATCTTGGCCCCGTCTCTCAGGCTTCGGCTTATTCCTGGGTCATTGTCACAATTTGTTGTCACATGTGCACGCTATTTGTCCTGTTACCTACTTTATTTATTTATTTATTTCTCATATATATATATATATATATATATATATATATCTTTTGCTTTGTATCACGTGGTAATGTGGCTGCCACACTTGGGGAAACACAGCTCTGACCACATGCCACCTCTCAGATGGAGTAGCCACAGGAGGTGAGGGAGGGGCAGGGTCTGAGCTGGAGCTCAGCTGGGGTCAGGACATTTCACAGGGCCCCTCTTCCTTCCCTTTCCTGTCCACCTCCTTTCCTCAAGTCTACTGGGTCTGCATATGCTGTCTTGCCCTCCTCTTTCCCTCCCCTCCCCCTTTCCCTCTTCCTTCCTTCCTTCCCCTTATCCCCCTTCCTCCCCCTTTCTATTTGTGTCCTCCCTTTCTATTGCAGAATAGAAGCTCCTTCTTTTGCTCTAACTTTAAATTTAACGATCACTCTGTCTGTTGGACTCCACCCCTTCAAGCTAGAAGGGTGCACGCTCCCATTTTGGGAGCCGGGATAGGTGGCTCTGTGATGTTGTCTAGTTAGTTACCCTTTGTAGATTTCCATTTTGCCCTTGTAAAATGGGGTTGGTGATCCCTGCCTTGCCTACTTCCCCAGTCAGAGCATCCAGATTTGGCATTTTTTTTTTTTTTTGAGGGCCTTGGAAAAGCCTCTAAAGGATGTTCCCAATCAGGGCGAAGCACCTTACCCCAAACCCTCCCACCCAATGACCCTGCCATACGGACTCACTTGGGTCGCAACACACAGACAGCAAGGGCTTCCTGCCCTGTTCAGCCCTGTCCTCATTCTTCTCCTGCTTGCTGTTTCTGCCTGGTCTCTTCCTTCTCCAGCCCTCTCCCCCTTGGTCATAAAGTCCCCCCTACACTGTGGAGAAGCAAATATTAAAATGCATGTCATAAGATGGAATCAAAAGCCCCTGCATGTGTAAAAGGCATCTCATTTAATGCTCCCCATACTCTGTCAGGTGAGGATTGTCACTGCTGGCTGGTGATGGGAAGTGTGAGGCTAGTGAGGAGCTGAGTGGGGCACTCAGCATTTTTCACTCCGTAAAGAAGGGCAGTGGCGGGGCGCCTGGGTGGCTCAGTCGGTGAAGCGTCCGACTTCATCTCAGGTCACAATCTCGCGGTCTGTGAGTTCGAGCCCCGCGTCGGGCTCTGGGCTGATGGCTCAGAGCCTGGAGCCTGCTTCCGATTCTGTGTCTCCCTCTCTCTCTGCCCCTCCCCCGTTCATGCTCTGTCTCCCTCTGTCTCAAAAATAAATAAACGTTAAAAAAATTAAAAAAAAAAAAAAAAAAGAAGGGCAGTGGCGAGCTCAGGTGCTGCTGGTCTTGGTCCCGTCAGAGGACTTGCCTACTGACTTGTCCACGTGCATGGTGACCCCCGGTCATGCGGGGCAGAGACCACGTGGGAGTCCCTGGTCCAGTGGAGAGCGACTCAGAATTGGTCCATTGTATATTCATTCTGCAAACACTGGCCATGGGATAGGTGATCTGCTTGGGAATTGGTGGCTGTGGAAATTGGACATTGATCTCGGTGTTCATGGGCACATGGGAGACACAGACTCACAACTGGCCATCATCTGAGTGACCAGTGTGTGGCTGGGTGCCCTGGATGGCCAGAGAAAGCCGAATGTTTCCGTGAGGAGTGGAAAGGAAAGAATTGGGGAAGGGGGTTGGCCATGGAAACAGCAGTGACAAGAGTCTAAATATGGGGTCCCACCCTGGGGTCCTGGAATGGGGGGCAGACTGAAGCGAGTGCCACACTTCCCTCTGTCCGACAAGGTCACTTCCATCTCTAAGAACAGAACTGCTCATCATGATCTACAAAGCCCCCCACCCATGGTTACCATTTTCTTCCATTCTCCATATCTCAGCCCAGCTGTCAATTCCAAGTGCATCCCCCACTTTCCTTCCAGCAGAACTGGCCATGGCCAGTTCCTTCTATGTTCCCTAGCCCTTGTCTCAGATTGGGGTCCTCATAACAGACCCTAAAAGGAGGATTCATGGGCAAGTAATTCATTAGGCAAGGCCTCCAGGGGAAACCAACTCTGACCACATCCCACTTCTGGAATGCAGTGGGAAGCAGATCCGGAAGGGAAGGGGGTCAGCAGAGCCCTACCACACAGAGGGAAGCTGGTCTGACTCCGCCAGGACCTCAGGAAGTGGGGCGGGTCATGCCGCATCTGGAGTGTGTAACCCTCCAACAGATGTTGATCAAGGTCTGCCCAGAGGATGTAAGTTTCTGGGTCCTTCCCCCCTTCTTAGAGCCTGCCAGTGAGGTGGCTTTGGCAGCTTGGGCACTGGAAATGCAAGGCCACCCAAAGCCAGTGTGTGTGAACGAGGTAAAGGACTCCAAGGGCACGTGGACAATGAGAATATCTGCTCTGCCCAGGCCTACTTGGTCAGCACCTGTAACCACGTATTGCACACACTTGCAAATGTCTCCCCACCGGACGCCTGGCACATAGCACATGCTGAATACAAGTTGGCAAACGAACGAATGAGTGAATGAGTGGGAGGAGATAAGATGGCTCTACCCATTTTCCACGGAAGAAACTAGGCTCAGAAAGGTGAGGGACTTCTCCAGGATCCCACAGGAATGAACAGCTAGCACCCCAAGGATCCTCATCAGCCTTCTAACTATGCCCCCAAAACTTCTGCACTCCACTTAGATTGGGTGATCCTCTCCTCCCCCAGCGCTTTCTTAGAATACGCCAAATAACGCCTGACTCAGCTACACAAGAACTTCCCCTTGGCAGGATTCGTGGGCCTTGAGGACTTTCAGGGAAGCCTGGAAGGGGTGAGGGGAGGCTCTATCAGTGGGTGTTTCCTCCCAGCTGCCCTTATAAAAGGCAGAGGGAGGTCCAGGTGATCTGAAAGGAACGTGGCCCTCTCCTCCTGCACCCCAGCTTTAGGTCCTGAACTCCCTCTCCCACACATGGCAGGCCTTGCAACCATGGTGGCCAGCCTCCTGCTGCTGGCCCTGTGTGCACACCGCATTGCCCCTGCAGGTAAGAGCTCCAGCCTCAGCCCGGGGCTGTCAGGCAGGACAGTGTGGCTGGGACAGCACAGTGGAGGGTGGAGGACTGACTGGGCTGGGTCTGGAGCAGAATGTTGAGGAACGGTGGCCCCAGGGCTGGGAGGTGTTGGGCTCGGGCTCGGCAGCCCAGAGTCTCAGGCAGCCCGGGCTCTTCTCTCTCCCGTCCTCTAGGCTCTGTGACCATCCCCTCTTCCTGCTGTATGTCCTTCATTTCCAAGAAAGTTCCAGAGAGCCGAGTGGTTAACTACCAGCTGTCCAGTGGGAGTCTCTGCCCCAAGGCAGGAGTGATGTAAGTAACCTCCTCTCCCGGACCCCCGGCACGAGAGGGGCAGGGGAGATGACCGTCCATTCAGGGTCACTGGGGAGTAAAGTTGGGAGGGCCTGGCTCTCTGATCCTGGGGAAGCCACTTCACCTCCCTGAGCCTCAGCTTTCTCCCCCAAGAGATTAGGAAGAGGACTCTGAGACAACAATCATTTCTTGAGCACCAGATATATATAAATATATACATATACTAGGCACTATTTGGGGGCATATCCCATTACCTTAACTAACCCCTGGAGGCTTTCTTCCTTTCTTGTCTTTCTTTCTTTCTTTCTTTCTTTCTTTCTTTTTCTTTCTTTCTTTCTTTCTCTTTCTTTCTTTATTTCTTTCTTTCCTTCTTTCCTTCTTTCTTTCTTTCTTTCAAGTTTATTTACTTTGAGAGAGACAAAGAGAGAGTACAAGTGGGGGAGTGGCAGAGAGATGGGGACAGAGGATCATCCCTCTGTGGGGCTCAAACTCATGAACCGAGAGATCATGACCTGAGCCAAAGTTGGATGCTCAACCGACTGAGCCACCCAGGCGCCACTCCCTGGAGGTTTTCAGTGCATTTTCTCCTTTCCTCTACTCCCTGTGGGTAGACATTGTGTCTCTCTCTTCAGATCCAACATTAACTAAAGGCAGGGCTGGGCCTCCCCCCATCTGACACGGAGCTTGAGAACAGGTGATGCAAAGAGATGCTGACACCCCGAGAGAAGACACCGTGTCAGGAACTGCTAGGGGGGCCCCGGGCAGCAGCTTGCCCTCTGTGGGCCTCCACACCCACGTCCTCATCAAGTCAAGAGGTCCAAGGTCATGGCCAGGTCTCAAGTGTGCCCTGTCACCCTTCCTGCAGCTTCACCACCCGGAAGGGCCAGAAGTTCTGTGGCGACCCTGAGCAGCGCTGGGTGCAGACGTACATGAAGAACCTGGACGCCAAGCGGAAGAAGGCGGCCACGGGGCTCAGGACGATGGGTGTCAAAGCGCTCCCGCAGAGGTCCCCTGCCATTAGCACTGCCATCTAACCACCGCCCGGCCCTCAGCTTGGGGCCTGTGCGCCAGTGATGAGAGGGGGAGAGCTCTTGCACCCTGGGCCCTTTGCCTTCCCTGAGCTGGCGGAGAAGGTTCTGGAAGGAAGATGGTGGCAGCCGTCTGCCCTCCTCCGGAGCTTATGCTGGCCCTTCCCTGCCTTCCAGGCACCCAGAGCCCAGGTGCATCGGGCCTCACCTGCAGACAGTCACTGCTTGTGTCTCAAAGCTTAGCCTAGAGCTGGCTTCTTGGGTCCTCGGGTCTTGCAGTGGGATCTGTCTGTCTGGGTATGGGTGACCTGTCAACAGCTGTGGCTCTTCATCACTCTACAGAAGCCCCGAGCCTGCCCCACTTCCAGAATCCCGGGTGAATAAAAACCCAATAAAATCTAGGGCTCCTTTGCTGCGCGTGTTGCCAGATCCCCAGCCTTCCTCGCACACAGCTCATGGGATGTAATTAATGACGTTTTCAGGGACTCTTTGGTTTTTGTGATGAAATGGACCTAGAGGGTGAGGATGAGGAGCCAGTCTGGGTTGTTAAATTCCCTTGGGAAGAAAGGGTTTGGGGGAGGCGTTCCGCTTTATGGAATGGCTGGCCCTGTGCTTCTCTGGGGACAAAGACCTGCTCTGCCTTTAAGGCCGGTTCTTTCCCTACATTTTTGGAATGTGAGGATGGAGTCGGGGTTCTGGTAGGAGAAGGATTCCAGGGTCCCCCCCCCCACCCATGTATGAGATATCGTGTGATTTGTATGTCAAAAGTGTAGACACAATTGCTCTTCTCAAATAACAATTCAAATAAAATGTGATTTCTCTTTCTCAGGTAATTGTGTCTTGCCTGCTCTCTTCCTGTGGGGACAGGGTTGGGGACAGGGAGTGTGTGCCCCAGAGATGATCTGGAGTTGCCCATTGGAGGGGATAAAGGCAGCCTGAGCCCCGGGCATCCCAGGAGTGGTCTTAGCCTGTTCCTGGGAGTCCTGTCATGAACTTTGTAAAAACATTCACGCACAGCAGGATTCTATTAGATTTTTTAAAAATTTCAACAGAACACATTATTTCACAAGGAACTGTTGCAGGCACAACAAGGCTATAAAATGACAAAGAGGGGCTCCAGCTTCAGAGAATTAGGGAGAAAAATAACTCACACACACACACACACACACACACACACACACTCACACTCACACACACTCACAAATCAAGAGCAGTGTGGGTTTAGTACCAATCCTACTTTGTAAGCTGCATGACCTTGAAACATGTCACGGTCTCTGTGCCTCGGTTTTCCTCAGCTGTAAAATGGGAATAATAAGCCCTTTTAAACCTTGGGTTTTCCCCAGAATCAGACCCTGAAACAAAGATCCGAGTGCAATGATTATGTATGGGAGGTACAGGGAGTAACCTCGAGAGAATGGGGAGGCAACACAAGACAACACAAGGCAAGGAAGGTGGCCAGGAACGGAGGGTCACCAGGCAGAGCTCAGTCAGAGCTGGGAAGTGGGTGAGACCCACCCCTCATCACAGCCCTGCTGCGTCAGTCATTGCCAGCTGTGCGCAGGGGTGCTCTTTCTGCAGGTGGGAGTAGAGCAACCTCCCTCGGTTGCAAACAAGCCTTCGGGCGTGGAGAGTCACAGAAGGTGTGAGAAGGCGGGAGGCATTCTGGGTGCAGCTGCTGTTGAGGTTCTTGCAACTCGACCACAAAGCAGAATAAAGAGTAACGCTAACAGTACAAATGAGGGACGTTATGGGCGTGCGTTGAGGGGATCCTGCAGACATCCTCAGCACGAGGTTGGCATCTGAATGTGACTGAGGTTTCCCTCGGCAAGAAGAGTGTTATTTCTGGGGATGGATGAAAGCTGGAGCATTCAGGGAAGGGAAACAGGAAGGCGAGGGACAGGGGCCAGACCATAGATGACAACAGAAGTCTGACTCACGGGCTGTGCAGCAACTGGCCCGGAACCATCACAACTGGGTCAGAGACTGTCAGCTTCCTAGTCCCACCCCACCCCCCAGCCCTTTTCCAACTCAAGACCAGCCAGAGGGAGCCAGCTATATATTGCCAAGTCAATCACAGAAGCTGTTCGCTTCTCCAGGACAACCACCTCCCACCGAAGCACCCCTGTGCCTCCCCGTTTGTCCACTCTGAGCCCCCCACCCCACCCCACCCCCCCGTTCCCTGGCCTGCCTTTGAGTCTCTGCAGACACCAGTGAGAGCGGCTGACTGTCTTGCTGTAGCAAGCTCTGAATGAATAACGTGTTTGTCTTCATCTGGGTGGTCTTGGTTAATTTCCACAAGGTAGGCGTGTAGTCTGGCCTCACTTCTCACATCTGTAAAATGGGCATAATAGAACTATCTATTTGATGAGTTGATTGTGAGGACTAAATAAGGCATTAATGCACGGGAAGCACTTAGCTCAGTGCCTGGCACATAGTAGAGGCTCAATAAATGTTAGCTGAGGGCATGACCCAGCCCAGCTGGGAGGCGGAGAAGCTGAAGCTGGTCTTGCAGGGGCCAGGGCATCTGGCTGACAGTTTCTTTTCTTTAATTGAAACGTAAATGACATTCAATAATATACTGTTAGTTTCAGGTGTACATCAGAGTGATATGATATGTTTCTACACTTCGATATGGTCCCCACAGTAAGTGTAGTTACTATCTGTCACCATACAAGGTATGACAGTATTACTGACTGTAGGGGACTGAGCCCAGGTGGCTCAGCGTTTAAGCACCCGACTTCAACTCCCGTCACGGTCTTGTACTTCACGGGTTTGAGCCCTGCGTAGGGCTCTGCACTGACAGTGAGGAGCCTGCTTCAGATTCTCTGTTCCCCTCTGTCTCTGCCCCTCCCCCCCTCAAAATAAATAAATATTCAAAAAATGTATTATTGATTATATTCCCTGGGCTGTGTGTTACATCCTCAGGACTTATTTACTTTGTAACCGCAAGTTTGTACCTCTTAACCCCCTTCACCCCCGGCTGACACTTCTGTGTCCATTCCGGCAGGCTCTGTGTCCCTCCTGTCTCATTTCTCTGGTGGCCTTTAAATGTGTCTGGAGAAAGAAGGCACCGGTGGGGAGCATGGGAACTGTCCACCAGATGCCCTGCTCTGCCTTTGTCTGGCCTTGCTCTAGAATGTGAGCCATGGACCTGGATGGCTGCTCTGCGTATGGTGAGGTGACACCCTCCTATCCTACTTCTGAACAGGCCACCAGCACAATGACACATGCACTGAGTCACCCACACTCTTTCTCAGGCTCCCTTGGGAAGGACATATTCTGGAGATGGACAGCGTGCCAGGGGCTGGTCAGGGAGGGACTGGGTTCAGTTTGTGGCCATGTTAGGGCAAAGTTGACCTGTGTTTGGGAGAGCTCTCCACTTCCAGCAAAACCTGTCAATAAAAGCTCTCGGGGGCGCCTGGGTGGCTTAGTCGGTTAAGTGTCTGACTTCAGCTCAGGTCACGGTCTCATGGTTCACGGGTTCGAGCCCCGCATCGGGCTCTGTGCTGACAGCTCAGGGCCTGGAGCCTGCTTCCAATTCTACGTCTCCCTCTCTCTCTCTCTGCCCCTCCCCAGCTCATGCTCTCTCTTTCTCTCAAAAATAAATAAACATTTAAAAAATTTTGTTTAAAAAGTGAATTAAAAGTTCTTTCATAAGCACGCAGCTGGTATGTCAAAAGGTATTATTGTAACCCAAGAGCGGAAGAGGAAGAGAGCACCTGAGGCCTTGAGGCCAAGCGAGAAAAAATGAAAGACACAGAACAGCCGCTCACAATCCTGACTGGGCGTCAGAATCATCTGTGAAGCTTTAAATACATATTCCTGGGCCCTACCCCATATGTGGTGACTCAGACTCCGCCAGAATGAGACCCAGAAATCTGCAATCTTTTTTCTTCAATGTTTATTTATTTATTTTGAGAGAGAGAGAGAGAGAGAGAGAGAGAGAGAGAGAGAGAGAGAGAATCCCAAGCAGGTCTCATGCTGCCAGCCTAGAGCCCAACATGGGGCTCGATCCCAGAAACCATGAATTATGACCTGGGCTGAAATCAAGAGTCAGACGTTCCATTGACTGAGCCACCCAGGTGCTCCAAATCTGCAATCTTTTAAAAAGTTTCCCAGGGGCACCCGGGTGGCTCAGTCAGTTGGGCATCCGACTTCAGCTCAGGTCATGATCTCACGATCCGTGAGTTCGAGCCCTGTGTTGGGTTCTGTGCTGACAGCTCAGAGCCTGGAGCCTGCTTCGGATTCTGTGTCTCCCTCTCTTTCTGCACTTCCCCTGCTCACACTCTGTCGCTCTCCCTCTCTCTCTCTCAAAAATAAACATTAAAAATATTTTTTTCAGTTGCCCAAATTGGTGCAGCCACGGTGGAAAACAGTATGAGGTACCTCAAAGAATAACAATGGAACTATTAATTCAGCAATTCCACTCCTGGGTGTTTCTCCAAAGGAAAGGAAAATACTAACTTTTTGTTTTCATTAACTCTCAAATAAACATTTTATCAGATTCGATCTCAAATTTTTAATATATATATATATTATTTTATTATAAGAATAGAATGTCAAAACAGGGCATAGATACTACACACACATATAGAAAATTAGTTGTTGATAGAAAATGTTTACACTGGAATAACAATCAAAACGAAAAGTTCGTTTTGCCTGTTTTCCATTTATTAAAAAGGTCTTCATGTTGTGAAAATAGTTCCAACTTCTTTTCTAAACTTCTAGCCTAGCAACAAAATCAGTATATGTCTCCTATTGGCAAAAAATAAAATATTTGACACATCAGATGACATACAATGACTACAACAGTAATTTTACCATATAAGGATTTACCTCACTCTGAGGCACTTCACGCACGAAAACTATTCATTTGTTTCTTTTTTTTTTAACTTTCTTTTTTCTTTTTAAAAATTTACATCCAAATTAGTTAGCATCTAGTGCAACAATGATTTCAGGAGTAGATTCCTTAGTGTCCCTTCCCCATTTAGCCCATCCCCCCTCCCACAACCCCTCCAGTAACCCTCAGTTTGTTCTCCATATTTATGAGTCTCTTCTGTTTTGTCCCCTCTGTTTTTATATTATTTTTGTTTCCCTTCCCTTATGTTCATCTGTTTTGTCTCTTAAAGTCCTCATATGAGTGAAGTCATGATTTTTGTCTTTCTCTGACTAATTTCACTTAGCATAATACCCTCCAGTTCCATCCACGTAGTTGCAAATGGCAAGATTTCATTCTTTTTGATTGCCCAGTAATACTCCATTGTATATATAGACCACATCTTCTTTATCCATTCATCCATCGATGGGCATTTGGGTTCTTTCCATACTTTGGCTATTGTCGATAGTGCTGCTGTAAACATGGGGGTGCATGTGTCCCTTCAAACCAGCACACCTGTATCCCTTGGATAAATGCCTAGTAGTGCAATTGCTGGGTCGTAAGGTAGTTCTATTTTTAGTTTTTTGAGGAACCTCCATACTCTTTTCCAGAGTGGCTGCACCAGCTTGCATTCCCAAGGAAAATACCCAATTGAAAAGATATGTGTGCCCTCATGTTCACTGCAGCATAATTTACAAAGTCCAAGATATGGAAGCAACCTAAGTGTCTATCGGCGGATGCATGGATAAGGAAAAGGTGATGTATATATATGCAATGGAAAATAATTCAGCCATAAACAATCCTGCCATTAACAGGGGCGGACCTTGAGGGCATTATGCAAAGCGGAGTCAATTAAACAAGAAAAGACAAATACTGTATGATCTCATTTATACGTGGAATTTTTTTTTTTTTTATAAACGGACTCACAGATACAGAGAACAGATTGGTGGTTGCCAG